CAAAGATTCATTTTCCTTTTGCATACAGAATATTATAATACAAACTACTATATAAAAAATTTAAGGGAACTGTTCTTTTTCGAAAAATAATATCATCTTAAATATGTGTGATTCCAAAATAAGTTATTTGAATTATTTTTAAAAATTATATATATATATTTTAAGCATTACTCGTTAGAATAATATTAAACATTTTACTACAAAATTAATTTACATTGTTTTAATTTACATTGTAACGATGTTAGAAGGAATAGTATATTTTTGTGTAGTCAAGAAACATATTAATTCTTTGTCGGCGAACACTAATGCCGGCAGTAAAAACGAGAACCACGTAACCGTAACTTATACTTCACTTCCTTCTGAAACGGCACGTGTCTACAAAGCGGTCTTAACCCTCCGTGAAATACACATATACACATGCTTCGTCGAATGCGGTATTTGTATAAGGCTACTTACCTACGACGCACGTGTTTGGATCGCATCCATGTGCAGAGGGATGCAGGCTGGCAAATATACATCCCTTGTAATTTAAATTTCAAAATAGAAACTGTCATTAAAAACCGTATCGAAAAATTCAATGTGTGTCGATTCCGACTGGTGTATTTCCGTCTGTAGCATTTTTTACACTTTTTATCTAATTATCTCAGTCGTATAATTATTGTATCAATAGGATAGCAAATATTTTCAATCAAAAAGTGAAAAAATGTGACGTAATAAATTGCCTTTATAATATATATTAAACATGCATTTTTTTAAATCAATTACTTGAATTATTTTAAGAAATTACTATTAAAATTATTAATATTGATTGTATTTTTTCTTCTTCGAGAAAGAATCATTTATACATTTTTACTCTTATATGACTTATCCTAGAACGTAAATAAAGCGTAGACTCATATTCTAACTCACTCTAATCTTAAATAGAAAATTTAAAGTTCTTTTAGAAGTAAATATGTATTGCACGTAGTTGCTCACATGATTGTAAACCGATTCAATTTTGATTCCGTCAACTCGGTTCTTCTCAACCAGAATAGACGTGATTATTTTTATCGATGGGATTATGCAAAGGAGCTGCCACGAAGCGGGCTTTTCTCTCTATAAAACGGTTTGATGAATCGAGTTATTCGTGCATGAATCATTGAATGATCACTTTTAAACCCGGAGTCTTGACCGGTTGGATGAAAGACCCCAGAAAAAAAAAATGCGTAACGAAAACAATTAATTGCATTTTTTGCATTCCATTTGAAACTAACCGGGTTACATGTAAACATGAAGACTGCTATTTGACCTCGCCCTTCGATGCCTTTTTCATCCCAAAAATAACAAACGCAGATGTCTGCGGGTGCCCTTTTTTATCCCGAACAATAGATAGGCTGCGTAAATACGGTCTCCGGTGGTATAGACCACCCTGTTCCGATCGGGGCTATACGTAGGTATCAAAGTTGCTTTTTGATGTCAGCCTGCATTGCTACTGTCAAAATCTAATTTTAAATGTGCAGTATCGAAAAATTTCAAACTCGATTATGATATTAACTCGTACTTTCCTATCTTTTACAAGGAGATAAAAGTGTAAAATATAATCATATTATAAAGCTAGAATTATAAAAATAATACAAATTACTAAAAGAAAATATATACTAAATACAAAAAAAAATATTTATTAAAATACTTATATATCTATACACACAAATACACATTGCACTAGGAAATTATTATTTCTCAAATATTTTCTGCAATATCAAATTTAGATATTTGATAAAGTAAATGTAATTTATTATCCTAGATATAAGCATTGTTTATATATAATGCAAACGTAATAATTAGTCAAATTTTTTTATCAAACTTTATCAAAATTTTTGTTTTTGTGACTTTACACAATAGAATTCAAAATAAATTTTTATTAGATAAAATATATTCTATTAAGATAAAAATATTTTTATAATAGAATATTAGATAAAATATCACATATTTGTTTAACTGAATATTAAGATAAAGATCCATTGAAAGAAAAAGAGAATATTTTTATATTTTAAAATGTTTGTTTAAAGAGAATATAATATATTTTATTTGATACTTAATGTGTGTGCTTTCATGTGAAAAATATTAGTCGATAAAATTTATAGATTATCTCAATCTTTGATCGTTTCGACACAATTACCTACCAGACTAAGCTGTCAAAAGGGGTCATGGTAAGTGCATGTACCTGCGCGTCTGGCTTAAAGTTCGGAGCAGACAAACGTCTTTTTATGGTAACGAACTGCATTCTTGACGGACTTGCATTCATAACGTAGTACAACCTGATCGTTCCAAAAATAAAATCGATGTATTTGGTCGATATACAATGAACTTGAAACGTCAATACAAATAGATAGAGAGCTAGACGGCTTTAACTACACGAATAGATACACGGATAGCGTGAGTTTCTTTCATTAAAAACCTAAGGTATATGTTATTCTATATTCGTAATATATAATTATTAAATATTCTAAAAAATATTTTTTGCTACATTGTAAAAGAAAAAATAATTAAAAAAATAATTGAAACTTAATTCACAAATTAACATTTGTTAAAATTTTATAAGTTATTTTTTAAAATGACATTTATTTGTTTTAAAGAATTTATTTTCGTATAAACTTCTTTCTATATATTTAATTTTTTTTAAATATATTTTACGATAGGTACGCATTTTTAAATATAAAAAATGTGTTATTATCGAAAAATGTTAATTAATTGTGGACCTCTCGAATATCCTTATAAACCTGTGAAAGGATTCTAGTTATGGTACTGATGGAGAGTTCTCCATATATTTCATATGCTTGCTAGATTGTACATTTGCAACATACAGTTATTACACATTATGTTTTGCAATGCAGGTGAAATATCATAGTATTCATTGTTTGATGATAATGCAGGAGTATGAAAGCCTTTATCGCACTTTATTAAAGCGACAGCGGTTTCATATTTAAAAGTTATGTATCTAAAGAGAGAGAGAGAGAAAGAAAGGACAGTACATATATTACATGTGTGCCGGACACGAAATGGAATTTCGTAATGTATTTGAAGTATTATTATCTTAACGGACTGTAACGGATTCGCAGCGAAAAACTTACTGTTAGCTGAGAAAGCAGTTATAACACGGCTTGATTAATATTTAATATTATTCGGTATATATATACTTATTCGTACATATTTTCTCGTTAATTGACGGTTAATTATTTTTGCGCTGATGCGAATTGAGATTATCGAAACGAGAACGGAATGAGAATAAACTTTATTAAAAATGAATTACAGTTTCGATTTACTATCAGCAAACAAAATTCTATTTTAATTATTTCATTTAACGAAAAAATCAAGGTTAAATTTTATCTTTTTATTTTTATGAACTATTATTATTCCTCTTAAAACTTTCCCGTTATCCAATATATTTCTCGCTCTTTAATTATTTATCTCTCGCTTTTCGAAAACGAGCATCTCTTCTTCACTTAAAAGCATTATGCATCCGTTGAAACGAATTATCATCGTCGCAAGAATTCAATTTTCCACGTGGTTTTCGTGGAAGCGCGGACAATTATTATATTCAGTATTAAATTCAATTGCTCCCGCGCTAATAGTCGTAGCGACGCGTTAATTATGCGTTCCGTTAAAGGGCGCCGGAACTTCGCCGAATACACGTATATGACATAATTGTTTGCCAGCGATGAAGATGGAAAAGACTTAAAAGACCGAAAGATGGTCGGCGCATTGTTCGAGACACACTTCAATTAAGCTCACTTGAGAGGAAAAAGAGAGATGCGAAGGAGCTCCGTCGTAGAGCTTCCTCGTAAAACGCGTCTATCAGGCGGTGCACTTCGAAGACGGGATCGCTGTTTAAGTGATCGTTACATCTCCTCTCGACGGCGAAACACAACAACGGGAGAGAGAGATGTTCGCCTCGTCGTTGTATCTCGAAATAGACGCGACAGATGGGCGAGAGGGAGGCTGCGACGCGACGGTGGTGCTAGGATTTTATGGATTTAAATTGGCCAAAGGGCGAGTTGCGATGCTACCCAATTGGCGCGTGCGTGGAAACCGCCTGGCTCGTTGACTTTTCGAATGAAACCAATTGCTTCTGCGGCACCGATACGACGATGTGCCATCTGTCCATAGTATACGTATCGCACATCCGCTGCGAAAAGTGTCGAGTCAGAACTATATACGTATATAGGGTAGGCTCAAATGTTCTGGTCAGACTTTGAGATTTTATAGAAAATTTAATTCCGAACAAAAAGTTTCTTATAAACATGGATCGAAAAATGCTTCCTTAAAAAGTTAGCGCCCAAAAACCTCTAAAATTACGATTATTTTTTACATTTTTACAAATATCATGGAAAGTATGCGTCTTTTAACAAAAAGTACCGAAACAAAAGTTGTAGAGAATTAAATTATCTTTCAAATGAGATCAAAATGATTGTAGTTCGCTCCATAGGTTTTAAAATTACCGTCGATAGCAGAAAAAACACTTTTCGGTACATTTGAAATTGGTTATTAACTGGTTTATTTACTGGTTTATTTATTGGTTATTAACTGGTTTATAAAATAACCGTGATTTCAGAGGTTTTTGGGCGCTAACTTTTTAAAAAAGCATTTTTCGACTCATGTTTATAAGAAACTTTTTGTTCAGTATTAAATTTCCTATAAAATCTCAAAGTCTGGCTGGAACGTTTGGGCCCCTGTATATATAGCTGTATATAGTGCTCTGAGGCGAAATTTGCACGCGTTGCCACAATTGTTGAGCGAGGGCTTGCGAATTAATCATTCGCAGAAATTCGTCGCGCACTGAGGCACTAATCATATTAAAAATATGGATCTATTGATAAGATCTGAGATAATAATCAAGATTAGACTAGTAATTGCGGATATATATCTATACTATAAATTAGTTCCATATTTTATTATTTTCAATTTCTATTTCTTGTGCCTAAAAGTATATTGTATTAATCTTTTTTTTTTTCTTTTTACAGCAAAAATGCGTGAAAGCGCGAGCACTGTACGACAATATCGCCGAGGCGCCCGACGAGTTGGCTTTTCGAAAAGGGGATGTTCTTACTGTACTGGAACAAAATACCGCTGGTCTTGAGGGATGGTGGTTGTGCGCTCTACGAGGTAGACAGGTAAGAATTTAACGAAAAGTATCTAACATTTTTATATACATCTACAAATTCTTCTGGAATAAAAAACTTTTAGAAGTTTCATTTATAGAGTAGACCGAAAGTTCAATTTTGTTCTTGGAGGATTAGCTCGTATTTTATCTCTGAACGATCCTATAATTCGTCTTTAAATCTGTCACTTAAATTCCAATTCCAATACGATTCAATTACACGTGTTACGTGAAAACACGTAATAGACGAACGTGTAATACATGAAACTTCTTCGTTCGATTTCTCGTAATTCCACTTGCGCGTCTCCATTAATCGACTCTCTCCTCGATCTATTACTCTTTAATGAAGTTTACCTATCGTATTAACGAAACACATGTTGGATGCTTTCACGTATTTCTTGCGCGCATTATTTATGCGCGTCTCTATAAAGCATAAGGGATAAGACATGCTCCGGAATGAAACTCTCTTTCGAACGACGTTATTATCGCGAAAATAGGACACTCGATCTCGCTAGATGATTTAGTCTCGTGATCTCTCTGCCTTTATGCTGATATCAGACATAACTGCACACTGCGATTTGTACAATTGGAATACGCGCGATTAGCCAATTACTAAGAATCACCAATATTTACGTTCATCATTTTGAATTAAAAAGGAAAAAGTGCGAGAGAAAATATTTTTTCCAGATAATGTTTAAACTAATGGTCCTTCGACGATGAAAAGCCGTGGCAATTCTCATCAGAAAATTTATTTATTAAATTCAAAACATTTAATTATATTAATATAATAAACATCCAGCATTACACTATTTGTTGCTACATAAAATTTGAATATTAAATTAATTATTAATTGAAATTTTATTTTGACAATTGCTTTTTATTTTTCCAATTGTTTTAATTTTATAGTTTTTTTCTGCTTATTTTTTTTTATTATTTTCGATGTTTTTGTAAAATATATATTTTTCAAACATTATTATCTCTCGAGTTTATAAGTTTTGCTCTATTAATTTTAGACTTTTCTTTTGACAAAACTGTTTATGATATTTATTCCGTTCAACAAATGAATTTGTATCTAGCGGTAATTAAGCTGTCAACGGTTTCCACATAGTTTTGCTCTATTAATTTTAGACTTTTCTTTTGACAAAACTGTTTATGATATTTATTCCGTTCAACAAATGAATTTGTATCTAGTGGTAATTAAGCTGTCAACGGTTTCCACACACACACACAAGTCTCACGTGCACGCGACTACTTATGCATACCTGTATAATGCATAAAGGCCGATGCACTAAAGAGCTTTAAGGTTCTCAAGGTATGACGAGGCAATATGTTATTAGGCAGAAATAGGATTAACGACCGTGCATTTTGCAGTTACGATCGATCTAACAACTACATTGCTACGTTACATCGGTATTGTAAATATCTTTGGGAGCAAAATTTAGAGTTCGAGAGATAATAAAGTAAAAGATGTTAGAATGAAGCATATATATGTTACAAAAAAAAAAAATAAATTGGAAAAATAATGTAGTAATAATATGGCAATAAAATTCACATAAAAAGTTATAAAAAATTGCATTATTAATCGGGGGATATCTTTCGAAAAATTGTTAGACATTTTCATAGAGCACGACATTTCACGATGAAGTTAAAGGTAATTTATTTCCTATTTATAAATGCTGAGCTAATATCGAATTAATTCAACTGATCGATTAATTCGTGTATTATAGATTTTGGAGTTATTTCCGTGTTCGATGTGTGTATATGTGTGTATACGTGTCTCGACCTCGGATAACCTCCTTATAAATGTTGATCATATCGAACCGTTTTTCCTGAAAACGACTTTCATCTGTCGAAACACTCTTCTCGTCGCTACTGCTGCTGCCGACATACATGCGACCTGTTTTAACACATGTGTGCGGCGGTAATTGAGAATGAAGGCGACGCCGCGTGGGTGGGAAGGCGATTGAATGATACGGTCTCCTGATCTTTATTGGAAAGCCAGGAACTTCTGACGTCGTCAGAATAATCTAATGGTAGAGGCATTGACCGAACTTGGCGTGTGTGGATTTTATGAGTGATATGATGTGGAATGTTGACGTGTAATGTCAATTTTTTTTATTTATTCTTTTCGCGAGAAAATCACATATTCGCGACTGTAGACATTATAATTAATTATTTGATTAGAATCAAACTTGGTTCTATCGACATCGCGTATATCATGTGATGGATCGAAATAATTCTAAATTATTAAACTATCATTACTTATATACATATATTGTTACTACTTGTATAGTTTTGCGTGCTTTCTTTCAGATTTACATAAATATAAGAAGATTGACTGATTCGCGAAAAATTGAGTCATTAATTTTCGAAATCAAAGGTAGATCAAAAAAATTTTGATTTGAATATCGCAGATTCTTTCGTATATTTCTTTATTCTTTTTCCTATTGCGAAATTTATTGAAAAATCTGAAATTCCAACAGATATCATACAAATTCGAGATTTTTGGATTAACATGCTCGCAACGTTAATGTCATTCTACCGAAACCGTGCACGAAAAGCTCGTATCTCTGAAGATTTATGAGTTACAACTTTGTAGCACTCTCGAGACGCTGCGAGGTAAACGAATGAGTTACGCGGTATGCATCTCGCAGTGGCAACGCTCATTTCTCAAGGCACGTTGCAAGGGAGGGTGTAATGTTTATTTTCGTCTTGATTTCACAGAATTAGACAACCTCACGATACGTTCACAGACGCCTAATTGGACCCTTCCCTTTCGAAGGGTCGTATCCGATGCATCCAATTATACCTAAGAGCTACCGCGCTTTTTTAGGAAGTCAATTTATAAATTAATCGACAAATTAAACATGTATAATACATAGAATATAATAATAATAATTTAACATTTTTATTTGACATTAAAAAGTTGTAACCAACTGGCTTTTTTGTACAAACCTATTTAGTAGAAGATCTTAATGTAAAAACTATATAATCAAAATAAAAATACCAGAAATGTGATTATGTATAAATATATAATATAAATAAATTAATAATAATAAAACTAAAATTAATATTATCCATTTTGCATTAAAGAGTTACTACAATATAAGGGAAAAAATGCATTCAATTTTATTTAAGGCATGCTGGCAGACGCATTGCATACGCGATTAAAAATTTATTCGGAACGATGTGTGTTGTTACTGCTGTTTGTTAGCTGTGTTATGTGTGTGTTGTTACATTATATTTTTTCTGCCCTAGGGCATCTGTCCAGGAAATCGATTGAGACTTCTGGTTGGCCAATACGATACGGGGGGTTGTTTGGTCGGCAGCAGAGCCGACCTAACCATTTCCGAGGATGGCATACAAAGACATGGGAAAAGGCGTAGCTGGCACGTGCAACCCAATAGGGTGAGTTATTTGAAACTATCTTTAAAAATCGCATTTTGAGTTTTTATTTTTTTAAATATATATATATCGTATTTGGAAGCTATTCTTAAACCGCGCAAAAGAAAGTAGATCTTACGTTTCATATTGCTGATTATTACCTCCCGTTCGCGAACTAGTATTTATTATTGCAAATTTATAGCACTCGGTCTTGGAACAGATGAACTAGAACGATGCACAAAATATGTAGGAAGTAGTATAATAAATGCGAAACTGGCTTAATTACCAGAAATTTGCTTAATTACAAAAAAAAATATGAGCGTGAAGGATTCTTATACGTCATTAACATGGAAATAACATAACGTATGTCCGCCAAGCATGCCTTAATGAGATCACAATAAACAACCATGCCATTCCGTTCGTTTACGAATATTTAAAAGCGGATTCTTTACGCCCACAATCGGGAATTCCGAGAGGATGGATTGCACGAACGCATGAATACGCTCTACAATTATAATTCTTCGTGCCGTACATTTGAATAGCATTTTATTGGCTCTACTGCGACAGCTGGCTTCTCGAATTAATATGTCCGTGATCTGAAAAGGCGTACGAGGACCTACTCTCTATCGATCGATCATTTGTAAACGCAACTACAGACAGGGTTTCTCAATCGCGTGATATATATTATATTCGATCAATCATAGGAATTTATGTGTTTCTTTGAGGAATTGTTATATAAAATATAAAGAAGATACAATCTATTTTTTAATTAACTATATTTATTAATATCACAATGTAATGCAAATCTTTTCAAGTAATGATTTGTTATATGGATTGAAATTAATTAATTGGAATTATTAATTAAATGAAAAATTTTTGCTAGCACCGAAAAAAAGATTTTATTTAATTCGAACAAATATAAATTCCGTTAATAGAGAACAGAGGGATAATGGAGGAAATAAAGAATTGGTTGGTCCATGAAAAATGTAAATCATCAATAATATCTAAATTGATTTTATCGCATAGCTGTTCATGTACAAACATCCTTGATTTTTAGCAAAATATAATTCGTCTGGTCTTCCATGAATATGGTGTAGTCAATTGTCTACCCAGAATATCGCGGACAACTGTAATAAAACCGCAAATATTCCTACTATTTCTGATTTTTTTATTTGAACAATTATACGATTTATTTGTCTATCGCGGTTTGGGAAACCCTGCGCCACAGAATTGACAATAGCGTTCGGGCGAGGGCTTATTGTGCAGGCGACCTTTTACGCCCCCACGGGATCTGTCAAAATCAGCTGACTGCCACTTGGTTCGTTCGGCTCTTCCGGACGCCGACGACGCTGCCGTTGCTGCGTATCTGATTGTCGCGGTTTAATATCTGCCACTGACATAAATTCGATGAAATAAATATGACAAGCGCGATCGATTAGAGCGTTGAATTTATTTGCTGTCGTCACAATGAAAATAATTAGCTTGATTGAAAATAATGCTGATTTTTTTAGATTGGTAACACGCGAAGTAGCGATAATATAAAAAATATGTTGTAATAATATTATCACTGAATTTTATGTCTTAATATAATTTACTCTAGAACGTACAAGCAATTTCAGAAAAATAATTAAAAATTTAAAAATTATTTGACTTTTTTAATCTTTTAAATTTACTTTTCAACCGTCACAAAAAAGTATTTATTTAAATTGAATTACGTTGCATTTGTGCAACAAAATTTCAATCTTTTCCAATTTAAATTTTTTTAGCTTATTTTTTATTTAATTATAAACTTTGTAATTATATTTAAATATAAAATATTAAACATTTTAATCTTATTTTAATGTATTCGAATTTGTGGAATATGTATTTTTATTATTTGGACAAATTGTTCTGAATATATTTCTCTCAAACCATCTCTGAATGTGTCGAGATTTGGTCGGGTCTTTTGCGAGCAGCAATGTATTTCGGGCGCTTCGAAAATGGTCGGTTTCTTGTTGGTGTTGGCAGTTTCTCGAGCTCTTCTTGTTTCCTGGCTGATCTGCGAGGACTTTTTGTTCTGCACGGTCTTGACGGGCGAACATCCGGACGCGACGTCCCGGTGTCATCGTACGCGTGATGCACGCGTGTGCGCATCTCTGCGATAGAAATACGACTTTGTTGTCGTCGTCGTCGCAGGGTCAACGTAACGCGAACGAGCTTTTCTACTACGTCACACACGGGTGATTGCACTAGAAAACCAGCATTCGCAGGTGACGCGAGACGCGTCAGATTTGATTGCTGCAGTTGATTTCACATTTCTTCCAATATATTTCAACATTCTTTTTCATTTCTCTTTCCTTATTTTTCTTTTTTACATTGCTTCTTTTTTACAGAAATGACGTATAGTGGACACTATATGTGGAAGCAATAATTAGTACAATAAAATCTAGAATTAATATACAAGTTTGCAAAATATAAAATCTCATGTAAAAATATTGATCATATAAACGTGTATCAAATCTTCTGTTTTTTTTTTCTCTTTTTTAGACAAGCGTATCGATAAGGAAATATATTCCAAATTTAAAAAAAAAAATTGAAATTTGATCTAATAATAGAAATTTCACAAATTCGAATAAATTAGTCAAAATAAAATTAAATGAAAAGTTAAATATAAATACAATTACAATCGAAAATTGATTCCGTAAATGCAAATTTTTTCATCGTTCCGCTCAAAAGTACGATACGCGACAGTGCTCCGGGAGTACCTCACGCGAGACGCGGTATCATTGACCGGTATCACCATCCTTTACGGAATTATCCCGATCCCTCCATGCTTCCTATATCGAATGTATCGGTAGCATACCGTCTCATCGCATCCTGGAACGATTTACGAGAATCCGGTCCTGCTGGGTGCCCCACAAGGAGGCCACCTTTTCTGGCACGAAGGTCCACGGATATCCTTATATGTCCGCCGGTTCCAGACAATGTCCACTCTGTGATGCCGCTATTCTCTCCTGTTCGTCGTCTTTTTTGCAATGTGAATACGTATGCACGCAAGACATATCTGCGCCCGCGCGCATACACAAAGTGAGGTCCCCGGAGTCATCTCGATGGAATGTCTAGGGCGGTTAGACTCAAAGAAGAGCGGGCGCGTTTCATCGTGTATATCCACTACTCTCTTCCTTCCTTCGCCAACTACTCCTCAACTTCCCAGAATAGCTCGTGATGCACGTTTTTACGTGTTAGATCTGGGATAGGCCGGATGCTTTTCCCCTCACTTGCGTCAGTTTGAATCGTTACGCGAAATAATTGATACAAACTAGTAACAAAAAAGAACTTTATTCAAATCTTATATATTAATAAAAAATATATTAATAAAAAAATCAGCAATAAAAAATAAAAAATAAATATGATAGAGAAAATTTTATACATATTGCGAACCTAATTTTGTCGTTCTAATAAGCTTCCGATTTTTCTTTTATAATTTTTTTAATCAGTTTTCAGCAGTATTTTAAATCAGTTTACCTATATAACAAATTTATAAAATGCGCTGCATCAAAAATTTATATTTTAGGAAAATAAAACTATGTGTGACAGTATTTATTTAATAAGTGATCATAATTTAATAGAAAAGTAAATATTGTTCTTTTTCGCAAAATTGATAATTGAATATCCCTTGCATTATTATATTCTATTTATACACAAAATTACATTATTAATCGTTTGGAAACGAAATATGTAGTGGCTGAGCGACTATATATTCGTCGATATGTTCCAAGTACTTAAATTCGCGGAGACACAAAAGGAGAAACATGAGCGTACACGACATAGGCGAAAGGAGCTTCGTGTGCACCGGTGATGTTAACTAGAATAACCAGATCGTGGCACGTTCGCCTTCTCTCTTTCTCTCTCTCTCTCTCTCTCTTTCTCGATTTGTAACAGCAAGTCAGTAACGTATGCAGTGCGAGTCTGCATACTCAATGCACGACAAGTGTAGCTCGATCGCATTTCCGCATAGGTGGCGAATTGCAAGTGTAATTTGGACATTTTATTATCTATTTTACTCTTTAGAGTTTTTATAAAATTAACTTGAATCAATTAACTATCAAGAATATCTCGAGAGTATAACGTAAATGTGCATTATCTTAAAAACAAAATTTTTCTTATAGTTTCACTGGATTATTTGAAAGTATATCTTATACAATTTACTATTAAGATATAATATATCAGATTAATAAAATGAATAAAATAGAAATAGAATGTATAACAATTTTTTAAAATAGCAAAGTTGGTTTCATAGCTTTCAAGTCAGAATTAAAAAGATTGAAAGTGTAAGTACTTTATTTTTGCATTCAGATTTCAAAGGCAATTCTACATAAAATGCACTACACGAGATCTTTGTCCTGTTTTCTATTAAATGATGAGTATTAAATAAAAAAAACGTTAAACTGGTTTTATCTTTTTAAAACATAAATACTTGCAAAATGCAGCGCATTTTGTAAAAAAATAATAAAAAATATCTGAAATTGATTTTAACAAAATAATAAAAAAATCTAAAGTGTCTAAGAGAACAAAATGATTGTTGTGCTCTGGGCGCTAATATTTCTTGACACTACTATTGGCGACGGCGAGTAGGCAAACTGTACTGTCTGAAAATGGCATGGAAAGACAAGGAGGACTGGCAGGATAGCGGAACGGTAGACAGGTTTTACGCGACAGAGAAACTGAGGAAGATAGACTCGGTTGAGACGGGAGTTGTCTAAATGTGGGCTGAGTTGTCTTTAACCGCCGGTATCAATGAACTGTCCAATGCGTGGGATTATTCACTCGTTCATGACGCTGACAAATTTTCGATCCCGAACACGGATACTAATCCAATATAATTTTTACAATATTTGCTGTGACACTATTTAAATATGACACTTGTCGCATTTAAATTATTGTTTTTTTTAAATCGATTTTAATTACGTGATAAACTTACAAAACGCGCTGCATTTTGCAAGTATTTATGTTTTAAAAAGATAAAACCAGTTTAATGTTTTTTA